TTTTTTCCAAAGTAGCTTCAGCGATTTTTGTGGCTCTGTGGTAGAACACCTTCTTGCCAGGCCTGGGTTCGACGCTCACTCGGAGCCGAACACTTTTTTTTTACTATTTTCATCTTACTTGCATCTTTCGCGATTTTTTCTGTCACGGGCAAGATGAAGATTTTTCGCTTACAAGCAACGGCGCCGACAACGAAATTTAGGTGAAACGAGCTCGTTTTAACGCTACAGCGTTGAAAGAGTGAAAGTAAAGGATTAAACCTTCCAGTAATGATCAACATAACCAATACATTTCTAGAGGAAAATTTCACCAACTAGAGCCACCTTCTAAAGTCGCCCTCCCCCCTCCCCCTGGTGTGTGCGCTTCAGGGCGCCGTAAATAATATATAGTGCCAAATTCAAAAAGCATTTCGCCGACAACGCAACCCCCTCCCCTTTCATAGCTTAGCCAGGCCCGTAAATAGGATGTTTTTTTCAGGTGGAAGCGGGGGGAACACTTATTTTCGTTATTTATTCTCGGTAAAACCACCCCACCCAATCCGAATTTCTTTGAGGTGAAACTATAGCACCCCACCCCTCTGGTGACGGGCCAGGTCTTAGCAGGTAACGTGTCGCGCAGCTTATATCCAGGACGCAGGTTCACTTCCCTACTGCGGCAGCTTCACTTCGACAACGAAAAGGGGAGGGGGTAGCGGAATGTTTGAGTGCACTTCATAAAGCACTATACAAGTGGCTAAAATTTATCCTGAGTCCCGCACCACGGTGTACCTCGTCCTAATATCGCATTTTCGTCACGTAAAATCCCAATTATTTTGAAGACATCTTTAAACGGCGCGAAGACAACACGCTATACAAACATCGAACACGCCCACACACGAAGTTCCTGTTCTATGTTTCCATAGCGTGCCGTCTTCCGCAGTTTAAACGTGTCTGCGAAATAGATCAACGAACCAACCGAACAACCCGCCTTGCTTCGGTAGACTATTAATACCTATCGGCAAAGTGTCTGCACCTCGGTAACATTTATACGTATGCGAGTTTAAGCTGCCGAAGCACTCGAGTCGTTTCGTATTGTCGCCGCGATAGCATGTGACGTACGCAAGTGTAAGACGTATGAGGATAGCGACATGCGAAAGAACGCAGCCAGACGTGCATGCATATGATCCGCTGACGCGCGCCCTGCACACGCTGCGTATGTTTTTTTTAACGCGTTCTTTTTCTTTTAATCTGCTGTACACGTACGTGTAATGATAGTCTGGCCGAGAGGATTTTTCACGACGGAGTCACTGCGCACATTTAAACTGTCTCGCTTTGTCTAAGTGTCCCTGTAGAATACGGATTGAGTGACGCTTGCATTCCGTGCGCGTTGATCAGCTGCTGTCTTCGGAACGATCGGATGAAGAGAAACGAAGCGGTCGCCATTTAACTTAACTCTATTCGCAACGGTGAGTGTTTCTGCGATGGCTTTATTCTCGCGTTATTTCAAAATAAAAGCACTGCAAGCAAATTTAACGGTACTTTGCGCACAGTTGTCGCGTTCTGTCGTGTTTCCATGCTTTTTTTTTTTTAAAGATCAATTCTTACCAATAAGGCATCTCGATTCTCGGTCATCTGAGACTGCGCGTCTTGCATCAGCGGTGGATGTGAAAATCAGCGCGACAACTTATCATGAATAATGCAACCACAAGACGCTTGTATTAAAAGCTCGCCTACGTAATTTATTAATATGGGGGTTTCGTGTGGCGAAACCGCGATTGTGAGGCAGGCCGTTGCACAGGCCTCTATAGAGGCCTATAGCATATATATATATATATATATATATATGCCTATGTAGCATATATATATATATATATATATATATATATATATATATATATATATATATATATATATATATGCTATATATAGCATATCGCGTCCATCGAAACGCGATGGCCTCGGCCGGTGTCGAACTCGCCACCTTTTATTGGTCAGTGTCCAACCACCGTAATCACAGAACCACCGAGGTGGACTAGACACAATTCAAAAAACGAAGGATAAAAGAGACAGAGAGGGTGGGGGGAGAGAAACGGCACGAAAGATGTCCCATGTTTCTCTTTTTCATTCTTCAAGTATCCCTCTTTTTCGCGCTTATCATTACTGTTCCCTAACAACGGTCTCTATAAATTATTCTGACGTTCTTTGCTTGATATTCATTGTTTTGCGATAGAATTTTCGCTGACACTTCACTGAACAGCGTGTACGATTTTTTTAGGGTTATTACTAATTCATTGCAGGCGTGATAAAATCTGACGCCATGACGTGGCCGAAGATATATATGAAAGCCTGCATGCGTGATTTCCGAGAAGCAGCCTTGCCGTGATCTCGCAGATGCAGGCGTGCCCGATGGTTTCCGGGAAAGGAGAGGAAAAAGAAACAAAAAGTATATGTGCCGTGGCAGTCGCCGTGCCGTTGTCGGCATGTTTCTTCATCGGTGCGCACCGCCTAAGCCGTCCACGCCTTTTCCGTGTCCGTCTCGATATAGCACGTCGAGGAAGCTTGGCATGCAAAGTACTTGACCCCATGTGCCACCTTGCCAGTCGTACAGCGTCGCCTACGTCGTGTCATTCAGTCAGGGGTCAGTGCGCTCACAGATACGAAGTTTCACGGCGAAGCTGCAGAGCATGTCGTTCTGCAGACATTTTCAAATTTGGTGCCGTTTTCTCTTCCGTTAATTTTAATGATGTTATCGGACCTCTCCGTCACGCTATAAAATTTCTTAATGGTGACACACTAAGGCAATGAAAAATGCCGCAGAAGCCTTTCGTGCTAATCAGGGTTGACCAATGACGAAATTCAACGTGGCGGAATTCGACAATTTTCAGAATAGCGGCCCCCGCTGTGATTGCTTGGGTATACGTACTCATCTCCGGCCGGTGAAAACTGTATACGGTTTCAACTGCAGTTGCTTGGAAGCGGCAACCGTAGAATAAGAAGCTTGATTATGATCACATAACAAACTTGGTGTTAAACACATAACTCGGTGTTAACACATTTGATTGATATGTGGGGTTTAACGTCCCAAAACCACGGTGTTAACACATAACAAACTCGGTGTTACGGCACCGAGTCTGTTGCGACCTGCTTGTTATACGGCAGTTGAGATAGACGTTTTGTGCAGCAGCGAGTTCGTTGCGATAAGGTTGTATCTCTTATCAGCTGTAGCGGTGACGCAACGTCCGCGCGCTATCTTGCGCGGCCCCCTAGTCAACCACACGTTGCCGAAACGCCTTTAGAGATATTTAGTTTGTTATCGCGATTACTTCGTGGTTATATTACTTTAGACCTTGTTCATTCATTTCAACCATGATCACGCCACGTGAGATACACGGATTGGCGACAAGTCTAGGCCACTGAAGTGCATGAAAAACAACGACAAAAGAACACGTCCCTGTCGTATGGTGTGTTACCATGAACATATCCAGTTGAACCTTGTTAAACACTGATGTAGAGAGTTATCAGAACTAAAAAAAAATTCGGCAGATCCCACGTACCTGGGAATCGGCGTTTTGCGAAGCATTCGGTGGGAAGAAGACCGTGTTGCAATTTTCTTTATCGAGCGACACGTCACGAAATGACGCTCAATACTTGTACAAATGTTGCACGCACAGACATATGTTGAAGAGTTGCAGATGTTTGTGTAACCAGTTGGTTGTACTTGCGCAACAATGCCAAGTGAAACATGCGTATTAGCAAAGCCAGAAGCTGATATGAAGCGCTGATGCTCGCGGGGATGCTGTTCTTCGTTCCTTTAGGTAGAGACTAAGAGTCAATCACGTGTGCCATATGCTCGAATACCAGTGGCACATACCCGTCCGTGGGTATGTGCCACTGTCTAGCGGGAAGTGTTTGACGACGTGCGCGACGGCATTGTGAAATTATTTATGTCTTAACCAGCGCGTCATATTCGTCAAACCATCTTACCCTCCCATGCTTATTTTGGCTCACGACAAGTTCAGGGGGTGACCACGAGAGCACCCAAATGTAAGCGGATGGATGGATGGACGGACGGACGGATGGACGGATGGATGGATGCGCTCAAAGTCACCGAAGTTCACTAAGAAATGCGTCGCATTTAATACGAACTTTGGTTGTCCGCTTTATTTCAGACATGTATTCTTTATATGACGAAACCAAAAATACGAGAGTGGCCATGATATCGGCAGGAACGATCGAAGAAACCATTTGGTGCGCGCGTGGTTTTGAACTGGACAGGTAGCACAAAAAGCAAAACAAATATTAAAAGAACATTCACAACTACGCTTTAATTTTTCTATATCGTTGTGAAAAGACACCAACCAGATCGAGCCGGGAGATTACTCATCTTTGGTCAACTAATCTTAACGCAGGCCTGTTTTATCGAAAGAACTCATTATTTCGCCTTCTCGTGTTCCTGTCTTCTTAGTTCCCACAAAGACAGATAATACCTCGTTCATATGTTGGGTTTGTGGCCGAGAATAATGAATTTTTTATCCTGTTTTTTTTAGCAATCCAGATTGCCCATGAATTTGATCTGATTGGTATTTCAACTACTACAATGAATATCAGATATAACGACCCTATTTATGGCTTCCATGCTACTTCATTTTAAGGAGTGCTGACTGCATACAGTAGGCAAACTTCGTTTGTTCACCACGGCTTAGTCGCCCGCCGCGGTGGTCTAGTGGCTAAGGTACTCGGCTGCTGACCCGCAGGTCGCGGGTTCAAATCCCGGCTGCGGCGGCTGCATTTCCAATGGAGGCGGAAATGTTGTAGGCCCGTGTGGTCAGATATGGGTGCACGTTAAAGAACCCCAGCTGGTCTAAATTTCCGGAGCCCTCCACTACGGCGTCTCTCATAATCATATGGTGGTTTTGGGACGTTAAACCCCACTGATCAATCTACCACGGCTTAGTCGGAGATGTAAAACAATTAGTTTTTCTTTTTGTTCGGGGTAGTGATTCGGCGATTTTTCTTGTCCATAGGTGACTATGACGTAACCGGGCCCAAACGGTGCTCCCCAGATACCGACGGCCTCATCTGAGGCGGCAATGGCGGGCGACGACCAAGCGCGGCAGCGCACCACGAATGGGTGCGGTGGCGGCGGCGGCGTCGACGACTCCAGCAAGCTCAAGAACGGCAACGGTCTCCTTCTGCCGCAGTCCAACGGCAGCAACCACCACAAAGGTCTCAATGGTGGCCTTGACGCACTAAATTGCAAAGTCCTGCAGCCTGTACATCCTGAAGAGGACCCGGATTCCATATGCGGCCTCTGGTTCTTCAAACCGAGGTCGGCACATGTTTGTGTCTCTTTTTTTAACAGTAGAACTGTTCAAACTAGAGGTTCACTACGAGGTATTAACAAAAGAAAAACATTCTCAACGGCCTCTGCTATGGAATATCTTGTCGCCTAGCACCTGGCACAGTTGCGCCCAGCAGCTGCAGTGCAGTAACTCAGCTGGTGTACTCTCTCTTCGTCCTCTTCTTTTTAATCTTCTACTTCAATTCCCTAGCACAGAAAAATAAAGAGAAACAAAGAAGGGCGTCCTGTGCCACCGTTTTGTTAGGCTTGGTACCAATAAGGCCCGTAGCCAGGAAATTTTTCGGAAAGGGGGACTTGCTAAAAAGCACTTATTTTCATTATTTAGTCTCGGTGTTCGTTACACTATGGTGTGTACTGTGTCTGGTGTTCCATGAGGGCGGCTGTCTACAGACCCCACAAACACTACGCTTCCTGCAAAGGTCAGCAGCTGAGCTGCCTAATGCTTCGATGGCCGCAATCAAGAGAACCCACAACAGCACCATTTGCTTCATATGCACAGTGAGAGCTATAGAGACCACTCACTATTCCTTTCAGATGGCTGCAGCGGTTTGCGAACAAAAAGGCGTTCCTAGCTGTGTTCTGCCTGACAAGCGTGCTGCAGGGCATGTACTACACGTACTTCGTAAGCGTGCTGACAACCATCGAGAAGCTGTATCAGATCCCGAGCAAGACCACGGGCATTATCATGTCGGCCACCGAGATCGGCCAGATCGGCGGCGCGCTACTCCTTACGTACTACGGGGGCCAGGGGCACCGGCCCAAGTGGATTGCCTGCGGCATGCTGGTGTTTGCCGTTGCCTCCATCTTGTGTGCCACGCCGCACTTCATCTTCATTGACGACTCGCTCCTGGTGACATCGCAAGCCAGGGTCCGAAGTTCCCAAAATGCCACCATTGACTCACAGCGGGCCAAGCTGTGTCAGGCGCTCGACCATGCCGCGCCTGCCTCTCCACTGCCAGGCAACATGAGCTCACCGTACATCATCGATGGAGGTGAGTACTGTGGCACCATCATCGTTACAGTGCGCATCATAGCATTGTTGTCTTCGTCATAATCATTGTCACTGATAACAAACAAGACTTCGTGCAACATTGCTTATTGTAAACAAGTACTAACACGAATTTTAAATATTTTCTGGCCGTTGCTCTACATGAAAGCATTGGTGTCGGAAAACTCTGAAAAAGTATTGTAGTGCCTGGCACTGCATCATATATAAAACACCGTCTGAACATTGACGGGGTGGCTTATCAGTGACGTCTGTCATTGCAGCATGACGTCGTGGGGAGAGAGCAATTCGCGGCGTTCTAGCAGCAGATCTGTCACCTGCTCGTGTGCAAGTGAGTGACGAGAGAATTGTCATCCAGCAACCCCGACAATGATTTCTTCAATCTAGGCTAGGTGTAGGACGCAGAATTCACAAATGCGATGGACCTATATTAACTCATCGGTATGATGTCCCTCGCAATGGGGCTAGCTTGTAGATGCTTGGCAACAAAAATATGCTAAAATCAATGTAAAATATTTCATGCATGTTGCAGGACTCCAGTGTGTGGAAAGCATTAACACGGCATAGCAAAGAAATAAAGGTCAGCCATTCTAGTTCGTTTATTGCAAGTTCGACAATGTTATTTGCAGTAATTGAATTATAAATATGAAAAAAGCAAGCTTTCTATATTCAAACCTGTGTTGTTGCCATTGTATGACCTTGAAGGGGAGAAAACAAAGAAATAAATAAAACAGAATTAATACGATGATAGCACTGATTGTATTCCTGTGTAGCATTGATAGTAACATAGGTGGGTGCGTGGAATGGGCCTGTCATCGCGTGGGATCGACTTGGCTAAACCAGAACAACAAGGAAATAACAAATGAAGCCTTAGTGAGCACTTCGTTGAAACATAGAAGAGGCAAAATGTTATGCCTGAAAGAAGGGAAGGCTTTGTTGCAACGGTTTTAGCGGTGTGAAATTGGCTAATTTTTTTTTCTTCATGTTCTTTGATACCACATCATAGCTGCATACAGTGTGTGACTACTTTCTCCATTTGCAGTGTTGGCGACAACATCCAACCTCTTGAATGATGGCGAGGGAGCTGGTGGCCCTGTGGCAGACGCGTTGAGACAGACAGCTCCCATTTGTGACGTCTCAACGCGGCCGCTCACCCAGAATCGCATCACGCATGTGGTGCTTTCCGTGTTCTTCATCAGCCTGCTCTTCATCGGCATTGGTGCCACAGCCGTCTACACGCTCGGCATACCATACATTGATGATAATGTCGCCAACCGAGAGTCTCCGCTCTATTTTGGTGAGGGTGGATCTACAGCCTGCATTATTGCATCATTTGTCTGTTGTATATTATACTAAGGACTGTAGTTATATAGTTGAAGTGAAGAATATATGCACACAAAAAGTGCTTTATAATCAAATCTGAATTTATGTACTTGCTAATCATCGTCATAGCAGTAACTTGCCCTTTCTGCTTGCTCACTTACAGTTGTCATTTGTTGGTAGCTAAATACAAAGAAATATGCACGAGCATTATTTGTTTGGTTCAACAACAAAGTTATGCAGCCTGCTGCTGATTGATATGATTTACTTAATGAAGGGTTGATTATCCTGTTTCTCAACAAATAAATTTTTCTGTGAATTGAATGTAGCTGTTCTGAGTCTGTCTGTGTAATTTCCAAATGAGTTTGTCATTTTTTTTTTACAGGTATCACGATAGGTGTCAGGATATTTGGTCCTGTGTTCGGCTTCCTTCTTGGCTCTTATTGTACGAGTGTCTATGTCAACTTTCCATTTGGTGAGTTAATGTTTCAGCGGTACTGGCACATGCGGGACTTAACTTGGATCGAATCTAATTTATTGATGTCTGTAAATACAATGAGCTAGCCTTTGAAGAAATGTTCACTCAAAAGTTGCTTGTTCATTGAGTTTAAACTAGAGCTCAATATCCCTTTCGGACTCAAATTTTTTGTTGGGTGGAAAAAAATGTTTGATGTTCTTATACAGTGGAAAGCCTTTTGAAAGGCATGGGGGAAAAAAAATAGAAGAAACAGTACGTGCAAGGAACAACCATATGCAGTATACTGGACACTGGTGTTTATTTGGAAAAGGCATACATTCTCCTCTCTTACCTGAAAAAAAAAATGTTGGTTTTGGCCCTGTCAGAATTTCCAGCATGCTCCTTTATTTTTTATGGCTGGGCTTCAAGATTGTCACGTGATGCTCCCTACTAGATTTTCTTGTTCTGCCTATGTTTAGCACAATGAGCACCAGTTACGTCCTAGTGCCCAGTGTACTTGGCATAAATACTTTTTCACAATGAGAGAAAACTTCTTCACAATGAGAGAAAACAGCACCGTTCTAAAAGGAAAATATAGGACTTGCATAAATTAAATCACCTGAATTGAGTGAAGATAGCTGCTAAAATAAGTTCGCATACTTGAGCGCACCGAGTGTACGAGTTCCCCTGTCGTTGGCGCCATTGCTCTGACGCCATTACATTCATGCATGTGATGTTGCCTGTTGTGCTCTAGTTCGGCCAATAGTATACCATACATCAAAATATTGTCTCGCACTACAAGGGGCCCTAGATACGTTTACATCTCCAACTCCATGCACAAGTGCTGTGTTAATGTGTCGATAGATGTAGTGTAGAAGATACTGTTGATTTAATGTAAAGTTGATATCATCGAAATTGGCCGATATATGCATGACCGCTTAGAACGTGTCCTCTTGATAAAAATGGAACAAGGTGATATTGGCCCTTCAAATTAAAGGTTTCCGAATAAATCTGAATTGTGAAAAACTTTACCAAGGAGTGCTTATCAAATATTTTCTAATTTATCGGGAAACGCATAGCGCTACGTACAATCAACACTGTGTTTGGACATTTCATTTGTAATCCTGCAGAGACGTCAAACCTGTCTCCCGGCAACCCGCATTGGGTGGGCGCTTGGTGGCTTGGCGTGTTCATCGTGGGCGCGGCACTCATCGTTACGGCTCTGCCCATGATGGCGTTCCCGCGCAACCTGCCACAGCGGCGGTCCTCGCAACGGGTGCCACGGCCCGCCCTGGACCGCAACGGTGCCATCTGCCCCAAGCACCAGCTCCAGCAGAAGGTGCCGCTCATCAGCTCGCCGCCAGCATCGCCGTCAGGGGCCAAAAAGGCCCTCAAAGACAAGCCGACGCTCAGAGGTGCCTACTGTCTCAACTTAATAAGGCTGCAACGGCTGTTCGTTGCTACAACTTCATCTTGTAATGAGCTGCTAGAAATGACTAGATGTGAAGAAAACGAAAGACAACTAACAATTTACTTTATTGGGACAATGAAAAGACCTATGTACGGGCTGAAATAAGGAAGTAGGAACATGAAAATGAAATAGAAAATCAGAAATAGAAAAAATGGTGGACATTATTCAAAGAAGTCATATCAGCCTCCAAGTGAAAAAAGAAAAACACCGCCAACATGTGTCGTGTGTTATGCATAGCACATGACACTTGTTTGTCTCTGATGCTGATATGAATAACAAACATTTGTTTGAAGTGCTTGTGGACTTTGACCTTCTCTGACTATAATCTACTGCTTTCGCTTTCAGAATTAGCTTTCGTTTTAACGTGTTATTTTTTTCATCTTCAAGCCTATACATAAATCTTTGCATGCTCGAAATAAATCAAGTTGTTAGATTGCTCATCGTTCTGTGTTGTTGTATTTCGTTTCCTTTGGCCCTTTTCATTTCTAGCAGCACATTACAAGATGACTAGCCTGCTTGATTTTTTGTGGTGTATACCAGTCATTTATGCTAATGCTGGGCTCTAAATCCGCTTAGTCAACTCTGACATTCTTTCCTTACAATGTTCTGTCAAACTAATTAAGCATACTATGCTGACATGTTATTGGAATTCTATGTTCCCGTATGATTATGGCTTGTCCGAAGTGAAATTCGTACGCTTTTTTGGAAACTTATCACCAGCCAACTAGAGTGACTTAGCGGCTTAGCAGCCAAGCATGAGTATGCAAGTTTTATTCCTGGCCACAGTGGGCCCATTATAACAGGGGCAAAATGCAAAAACACGCATTCCGTATTTGCAGTCACCATCATACTTTTCTTAACCATGCTTTAAGTTTCCTTTTCTTTTAGTGCTGGAACTTATGGTATGAGTGTCTTGACTGTTAGTGTTCGATGTCGCCTTTTTATAGTACACTTGAGCCGATTTATAAAAATTAGTTCTTGCCTTTTGTATGAAGTGTCTCTTATAACCAGGGTACCATGTATGCACTTTCTTATCAACACCTGTTTTTATGAAGGCTCACTGGTGTCTGTTATACCCATTTGTCTCCTACATCAGTGTCTGTTATAAAGGGGTACAACTGTAGTGCTTTATATTTGCACATTACAGCATGCATTTGCTAATGTGCTGTAATGTCTAATGGAATATGTTACCAGCTGATTTAGTTGGCCGCAAGACTGCAGATTCATTCCATGAGGCACTGTAGCCCCCGCAGTAATGCCTAAAATGACGCTGCGGGTAATCATCCGAATAAAAAAGAAATGTGTAGCACATAGTAAACACACTTTATTGTTTTGCGTGATAGCTGTACCCCTAAACTCTTGATGCTTCGAGAGAGGTGAACTGGTGTAAAATAGAGCTGTTGTCGCACTGCAACCATCCAATCTAGAATTGAAACCTATAATACTCGTATACTTAAATGAAAATGCATGTTAAGCAACAACGCATTCTCAGAAACAATCCTGGGTTCTTCACCACAGTGGGCCTCATAATCATTTCTTGGCTTTGTCACGTAAAGCGCCAGAAATACTTAGTGAATTGAAATCTATGGTAAATATTTTATGTATAGCTTTACATCTATCGCTGATGTCTATTCCTCTGTCTGTGAAATGAATTTGAGGCTGCAGAAAAGTTTCGAGCAATTTTAACTTGATTAAAAGATGTACTCCGACCTAACACAACAAAATGTAACAAGAACTTCAGAGACGTTTCTCCACCTATGCAGGTGGCATCCTCAGTTAGCACTGGCTCCAAACGAGTGAAAGTCACCCAGTCTATGTCTAGTCTCGTGCGTCTCTGTACACATGTAGTTGGGGGGCCGCAGTTGTTGTTGCACATGGACTTGTGAATGAGCCACGACTCGAGAACCTTTCTCTTGCCCCATCATCGTTCTCGAGCGTCTTCACATTACTGAATTCGAATGGCATGCTCTGTGTTCCAGCAGTGCTCATCGAGCTCAGTCTTCGAATGCGTGGCGTGGGTGGTTTCAGCCATGTCCCCTTTGTGCTCTTTGAGCCTCGTTGCTCGTTGACCGCTTCCTGCGTGTTTTGGCTATATATGTAGTGTCGCAGTTCCCACACGGTACTTTGTAAGCGACCCCGCTTTGATCGTTCACAGGGGTGCTATCTTTAGGCATGGTAAACACGTTTCCCAAGGTACAGTGAAGCCTAAAAACAGTTTTAATGCCCAGCAGATCGAGTGCTGTCCAAACAGAGTCCGATACACTCTGAACGTAAGGAATGCAAACATTGGATGTTGTGTTTTTTTGTGGCACACTCCTCGTTCTTCTTCGCATGCGTTTCAGGGTGTCGTTGATAAGCGTCCTCGACAAATGCATTTGTTCTAAGGCACAAACCACATTTTCCATCTCATGTCGCCGCAAGTGCTGATCAGAAAGTCCTCACAATGGGCCGTTTGTGCTCGGTTGGGTGATGCGAGCTGAATTACGAGGAATCCCTGGTATCGCATTGTTACTGCAAAAGTTGTCCACTGCCATTGCTGGTGTCAGTAACCACTATTGCATGAAATGAGAAAAAAACTCGGTAAATAAAAAGCACTAAGGACACAATAGGATTCGAACCCAGCTTCCCTGCATGCCAGCCCAGTATTCTACCACAGAAAACTGGCCTGTTGGGAAAGGAGCCATGTAATACAGGTAATAAAGTGTTTTAGAATAGCAAAGGCAAAACCAGGTATCACGCAATGCAAATAGCATGACGACATGCTGTGCGTTTCGCGCAGGCCTGCTGGGGTGTTTTTTTTTTTTTTTTTTTTTGTTCGGTACACTTGTTTCCACCCCGCCATCACAAGTATATATCCGAAAATGGCAAGACACTGTTCTTCTCTACTTCATAAGTAAACTTAATGGCAGCTGTACGCTGTTCAGTGCCTCATGGAAAGCAACCAGATTTTCCCTCTTCAGGATGACAAAAGTGTTATCAACGAATCTACGGTGCAGTTTTAAATGAATAGATAGAGCCTCCAGGGCACACGTTTCGACATGCTCTTTCACTAAGTTGGCCATGGTGACGGAAACTGGAATTGCAGTGCACCCTCCTCCACCGACGTGCAACTTTGCAAATTCCTGTCCTCTTACGGGCCTCCATAACCTAAATGGCCAGGACAACAGGGACATTTGTAAACAGGGAAGCAATATCAAAACAAACCATGACATCATTATCACTGAGCTGCTACATATGCAAAACAGTTGCAAATTCTATAGTTTCTGACTGACCTGCTGCTGTTCTCGGTTAACGGTCTTGGCAAAGAACTCCGGCAAGTTATATGTTGGTGATCCAGTGAAGGACACGATAGGACAAAAAGGGCAGCTCTCCTTGTGTCGAAGCACATCTATTAATCATGAACTCACTCGGTTTTTAGAACCTTTTTGCAATTTTAACTTTTTGGCTATTCCATGTTTCAAAAAGTTTTATGACTGGTTATAGTTGTGCATTAAGCATAAAAAAATACCGCCACTCAGAATGAATGATGAGGCTGACTGACAGGCACAACTTTTCTTACAGTTCCCATTTTGCGCCATAGGCTGTATTATATACGATGCTACGCAATATGGAGAACTGTAACAGCGACATTCAACTGCTCGCAGGGGCATTGGACGACGTTTGCTTTAACACTAGGATCTGTGCATGTGAATGGGAAATGTGTGTTTGTGTGTGCTTTGCTACTTCTGCTTTACGCTGCATGATTGCTTTTCTATATACCTTGCTTTGCCCGGCTGCTACTTATAGCTTTCTATAGGTGCTCTTTCTCTTTCAGACTTCCCCACAGCCATTCGGCGCCTCCTGAAGAACGAGATTCTGCTGTACCGCACGGCCAGCAGCGTCCTTCACATCTTGCCAATCGCCGGCCTCTACACTTTTCTCCCGAAGTACTTGGAAAGCCAGTTTCGGCTTACCGAGACCAAGGCCAACATGATCACGGGTGAGTCAATTTCTGAAACCTGGCTGACTGCACGTTGTGTTGGTTAGTGCCAGGCTAGCACATATTTGCGGAGAACCGCAAATCACAAATTCAACTCGTCAAGCACTAGTACCTTTCTTTTTTTTTCCTTGAGGCTGTTCATTATCCTGTACGTGAACCCATAACAAGCTAGTCTCTTTAGGCCTTTCCCACCCTTTAGAAGAAGGGTGGGGAAGGACATATGGCCTAGCTCAATTGAGTCCCCTTTTGAGCACTCTTAGAAGGTGGGGAAGGAAGAAGAGCCAGTCGTAAATTGTGGTAGTGGTGGGGTGGAGGGGGGGGGGGGGGGGGGCTGCTGCTGCTACGTACGACCCCCTGCCACCACCACTGATTGGCTGTTGAGTAGCCAAGTCGTTTTGTTACGTAATAACAAACTTTGTATCTATTTTTATGCATCCTGTAATTGACATTTGTTACATTGAGATATGATGTGCACGAAACATAATCCTGGAAAGTCATACATGTGACCATTGTACATTGGGGATCTTTAGATTAAGTGCATCAGAGCTACACAAAAACACTAACCAGCTTAGTATGTCAAGTGCTGCTTGCACGGCATACTAGATTGGTTTAGGTTGTTTTGCTCTCTAGACAGCTAGTGTATGTGAAGTTTTGTGACAAGCTGTTACACCAAGCTTAAAATTTCCTATTGGGTCAAAAAAGAAGTGATGCAAATATTCAAGTATATCTCTTTCATATAAAATAACAGAGCTGAGCTAGTTGGTGCATATTCATCCCAAAAGACTGGGCGTGCAAACACGGACACAAGAGAGAGGTCATGACGCCGCAAGCACATGTGTTTGTGGTGTCTCGACCATACTGTGCCCGTGTTTGCACGCCCGGTCCTTCAACGTAGTTGCTCTTTCCTTTCACGTCATTGCAGGGTTTGCTGGTATTCTCGTCATGGGTGTGGGCATTTTTGCCAGCGGGACGTTCATGCGCAAGTACAAGCCGAACGCCCGCTTTGTTGCCAAATGGATAGCATTCACTGCCCTGGCGTACTCCATCGGCATGGTCATCCTTATGTGGGTGGGCTGCCCTCTTGGAGACTACGTCGGCCTCAATTCTGAACAGTAAGTCCACAGTTCTGGAGACAAGCTTTATATATCTGATGAAGCGGTTATCTCAACAATATAGACAGAAGGTTCAGATAATGGATGACTGTCAATTAGGTTGACCTAGATAGGCCCAACAGAACACGTTTAAGCCTTGGTGAACCTTTTGCACTGAACGGCAGTTCTCTTATCCTATCCGGATCTCCGCTCACCCTCCCCTTTCCTGCGTTAGTGGCCACCACAATTCTATGGCATGAATCAATAGAACCCAAAGACACATAAAATGAAAATGTGTCCTCTCGTCTTTGTTTTCACGTGATGGCATTTTGAATTAACGATATGCCAGCAAGCCCAAGGTTTTCTCGTATGTTACTTCTGTACTTTACTAGCAAAAATGTGAAGTAGAGAAACCACTATCACATTCTGTTATTAACTCTGGTTGGGTATATTGTTTCTGGAGTTATATTGGTCTTGCAGGTTCATGTGATCATCAGTAAGCATTCATTTATCCTATTTTGTGGCTCCATGTTAAATGATTACAGGTGGTTAAGGTGTACTTGAAAGCTCGTTCACGAACTGCAACCGTCTGTGTGAACCGCCATGCCTAATCAAGTCATTGAGCCCCACAGACGGAACCGAATGAGATAGAATCAAATTCACGTTGAAGACCAATGTTTTCTTTATTTTGTTTTTTTGCAGCAGGGACGTAGATTTTCTACCTCCAGCATGCAACAGCACCTCGTGCGAGTGCAAGTCTGGGCTTTTTTCCCCAGTGTGCCATGATAGTGTGACCTACTTGTCTCCGTGCTTGGCTGGCTGCTCACAAGTCTCCGGCAGTAATCAGCAGGTGCGCTGTTTAGCTTCTTTCTATGCCAGTTCCATAAATTTGTTCAGTGGCATGAATCGCTTGGGATCAGGGGCATCACGACCCCCCTTGTGTTCCAGGCTTGGAGGAGGGACCTTTTGTGAGTGTTCTTTCCGTGAAATTTGTGTTTGAAGCATCATATAGCTTGATGCCTATGCTTGTAAAGCGCATATTTTGATCTCTTAGGTAGTTATTAGTCATACTGTGCAGAAAGTTTTTGTACTAACCTATTTCTTTTTCACATCTGTTCATTTTGTAGTAGTAGCTGTGTTCAAGACACTAAGGCACACAAACTAGCCTCATTCTTATCTCATATCTTCCCGATTTGATTTGTGCCTTTAGGATGTCTGGCACACAAATTGTTCCGGTACAGACAAACCAATCTTGTTGATACATATGAGGGGTTTAACGTCCCAAAACCACCATATGATTATGAGAGATGCCATAGTGGAGGGCTCCGAAAATTTTGACCACCTGAGGTTCTTTAATGTGCAACCAATCTTGTAATTGTCGTTCACCCTGCTACCGTTTTAGTTCCCCTGTAACAGATGTACAGGAACTTAAGAAAACGATAAGGAGTGGATAAAGTGGGTTCGTGAATTCAAGCATATGACTGTATTGAAACTGCATCTGCAATTTGACTGCTTTCCGGGGAGACTCAATGCCACAATACAATCATGTGGTGTGTGAAGCCACGCTCCGTTTTCTTTTTCCAAAGCGCTATCTGAAATAAAAGCAACATGCCTACCATCCTCCCCCTCCTTGTAATTTTACCTCATTGACGTCACTGCACCTGTCGGCACATTGTATTTCACGTGCATTTTTTCAGGGCTACTAGAGTGTGCCACTTTTCTTGACAACTTAGTTCAGTGCTTCTAAAGCTACGAGTTTCAGCGGCAAACCAGGAAAAAAAAAACGAGCAGCAGAAATGGGGCACTTGTTGAACCCCTCTAATCATACTCTGCATGATGCCAATAAGGTGTTAACTTGTGCTGGTTCGTGCATTCTAGAAAAAACTGCCGTATTCAAACGATTGGAAGTTTACACGAATGTAAGTCGATCCCGCAAAAATCGCACAGTGAAAAAAAAAAAATAAGAGGAAGGGGATGGGCGAGAGCATATCTCATTAAAAAATTAGTTATTCACAATGTCTCCAAAGAAAATGAAATTAAAAGTGGTGTCAAGGCAGTGCAGCTGCACAGGAAAGCTAGCTTTTCTGTGATACGTAGAATCTTATTTAGAAAGGCTTTACACCCGAAACTAGCTTTAGATTCTAGAACGACCCCTCCAACTTTATAAATTTCAAATGAATACAAAATTGGTCGACCTACAAATATGTAAGTACGGTAGATGACAGCGCAAGGATAAGTGTCACGCAACGAATTGATCTCCTTCCTTCAGTGTAGCACACATCTGTTTGTTTTTTTTTTTTCACTTAGACTGAAAAGAGCTTGATTGTTAACTGCACAGAACCGGGGAGCACTTACATCATAAATTTCCCGCCATTGTGGCTAGGGTGCAGGGGGTGTGGGTTCGATTCCTTGCTCATATAGTGGTCACCCTTCATTTGTGATGGAGTGAAAAAAAACTGCCATGTACTTACGTTTAGTTGCAATGGGTGAAAAATTTTCTGTGTAAACCCACCGTCAGAAATCGTCAGAAATCGTGTAAACCCACATCAAAAATCAGACTGAACGCAATCTATGCACATGTAATTGTCGTGACGTACTCTCTCCCCTTTTTTATGACACGTTACATACTGTTTCAGTGGTTGGCTGCATATGCATTCTAGCCTGCACTATCCACAAAGCAATGTATTTTACAGTGCGATCATTCAGAAAAGAAAATAGAGCTAGCTGTCAGTAGCAGCTCTTGCATTTTTCTGGACATTTCAACTACAAAAAAATTGTGTCCTATAGCAAACACCAAGCAGCTCATGAAGTTATTCTGTGCTATGCTGGTTACTTCCGATACTCAAGGAGCTAATTCCCCAACCACACCATGTACTAACAGCTGCTGGCAGATCACTGTGTCAGATGAAGCAAACTTGCTTGTGTTTAGAACTTCAGTCAACACAAACAATTAAATCAAACCTTCAAGGAAAGTACAGGGATTGTTAATTGTTGTCTTTAGCTGTAGTGTAGTAATAAACACCTTACTTGAAGTGAAAGTGGACGAGTAATGACTGGTTTTGTTCGTGGGCTTTGAATACACGACCGCTGATTGAAGGCTGTGGGCACAGCTGATTTTTTGTCCACTTTGACATAATTTCAAATCACGTCATCATTGCTGTGCTGCAGTTAAAGAGGGCCCTGAAACACTTTTTGAAGTAACGGTCAATTGGCTTCATTAAAGGATTTCGTTGCATCGCGAATCGACTGTCGCAAAAATGTTGACAAACCACTGAGTATGAATGAAGTAAACGAGATTTGTTATGCGTCATCACTTATAGCCAAAAAGGGGAACGATTTTTAGGTAACTGTAATTTCCAGGCCACGTGTTGTGCTACAATGTTTGACTGGCTCGCATATTCTTAGGAGCCCCGGCTACCAATCGACACCGTTTTCTGACCATGCTGAGAAACAGTGGCAGGGCCCTTTTAAAGACGATTAATGTCCTCTATGCTTTTCCTCTCTTAACTATTGTCAGTTGGATTAATTTGGCTGTGTCCAAACAAAAAAAAAAAGAAACTAGCTCCTCAAAAAAAAAAAAAAACGGCCCTTCTTTCGCTCGAGAAAAATAATAGCAACATGCATGCACTTTTATTTTTAAGGCCTACCAAGATTTAAATTACGTTCTTTTTTCTGTTACAGCCAACATTTAGCGACTGCCATTGCACAGGAACCAACGAAACAATTGTGAATGGGTTCTGCTCTCTCGAATGCAACACCCTTACTTGGTACATTGTCATCTTCTCAGTTTTCGTACTCATACACTCAACGTCCGAAGTTGGGTCCATGCTGCTGACTCTTAGGTGAGAAAAAAATGAAAGCTGCATACTATTTTTTCATAGCCTGTGAACATAGTTAATGTAAAGAGATTTACAGTGGTATTGAGGGCTTGTCCATCTCTTGATGCATTTGTCACAGTCACTGCCTCGGATGTCTCATGATTGGCTTGCTACAGCGCCCTCTTTTTCGCACTTTTAAAACATGCTCCGCACATTTTTTTTTTCTGCGCTAGCTATCAAAGGCCATATAAGTGAAATTTGCCGTAAGCCATAGTCAATATAAATGCTATATGAGCGACCACCAAGCCAATCTTTGCAAGACTGCATGCAGGTTTGGCAATGGTAGAGTTTTCTTACTGTCAGCAATCAAGTGGCACTTCAGCTAACTGCTTGCGCACCTGCTGGCTGTCAATCGGATACGTGTTCAAGTACAGCACGTAGGAGACACTTTAGCTCCCCCAATCTCAAACGGGAATTCGACGAGCTGCACATTCTCGGTCATGCGTCACACCCACTCATGGGCACGTTGCCAATAAAATGTAGCAGTGTTTCAGTTACAGCTACCTAAGCCAAAAAGTAACCTAATTACAGTTACTGTGAAAAAGTAACGTTGTTACTTTTCTGTTACTGTATAAAATAAGTAATTTATTATGCAACGCATGATCAATTTATGTAATAAAAACGCACTAAGCGGTACGGGTAGTGCATCAGGGGTGATGACGACATCCATGGATCATTGCCGTCCATTTCCATGTGTTCTTCGAAGTGTATCTCAGTTACAGCTACCTAAGCCAAAAAGTAACCCAATTACAGTTACTGTGAAAAAGTAATGTTGTTACTTTTCTGTTACTGTATAAAATAAGTAATTTATTATGCAACGCATGATCAATTTATGTAATAAAAACACACTAAGCGGTACGGGTAGTGCATCAGGGGTGATGACGACATCCATGGATCATTGCCGTCCGTTCCCATGTGTTCTTCGAAGTGTATCAGACCCTGTTCAGAGAGATGGGACACGTTTTGCGAAACCCGAAGAATGCACACCTGCAGACGATCAGGGCGAGATCATCTACATTTACGATGCGGGGATGGCAAAGTGTTTTAATTACATTGGTGAAACAGGCAGGCAAGAATTAGTTGCTGTAATCAACCCTGTAACACATTCTGAGACGAAGGTTTTTTAACACTACTTGACCACGGCTGGTGTCAAGCGAGCGACGCCTCCAGACCGGTCATTGCTTGACAGGCAATAACTTTACCCTAAACAATGCGACGACACTGCCCCACGAAGGACAGCAAGGAGGTTGGGGGGACTTCAGGAAACGTGATTCTTGCCCCACAATGCTCTGGCTTTCAATAGCAATAGCGGCTCCCTACCGAATGTTTGCAAGAACATGCGTGTCAAATGGATGTCCGCTTACCTTTTCTTTTTTTTTTTACTTGTAGCCAGTTTATACTTGGCACACGTCAGCTATTTTGTTGATAATTGTTGTGTGAAGTCGAAGTAGACCATTGGCAATCAATTACAAAAAGGTTTTCAAAAGCCGATTCAATAGTTCAAAGCCTTCTGGCTTTTTCAGCCGCTTTGTGTGGCTGTTTTTTCGCCACCTGTCAAACACGATAAGCTCGGGGCCTTGGACGAAAGAATGCTCCACCGACACGTGCACCAAGAAGACAGTATGAAGCTCAAGTTACAAAAAGAATATGTGCCTCCTTCTCCCCCCCCCCCCCCCCCCCCCAAAATTGTCGTGAACTCGGCATGCTGTTCAGCTACAACATAATAGATTCACGACATGGAGTTTGCAAAAGATGGGACATGGTCTTTTGCATAGAAGATATATCCCTTTGCGGCTATTTCTCCTAAATGCTAGGGCAATGCTATTGGGGTAAGTAGGAAGGTAGAGAGGATATTGCAAAAAAGAAATTTAGGAAAATTGAAAAGTGTTTACCATCGGTCTTTAACGAGTGTTTCTGTTGTAGAATTTTCATAAAAGCATGAGTTACTCAAACGCTTTTTTTCGTTACAGTTAATGTGTAAAAAAGTAATAGTGTTACAGATACAAAATGTGGAAATATATGAGGGCACAAGGTAGCAGAAAAAGCACTTGACAGGAAAGACGCTCACTTACAACTGAATTTTTATTAGAAAACATTCATTGCACAAGAACACGTGCAGTCACAACCAACTATCACTTCAAGGTTCCACCCCCTCTTCTCTTCCCCAAAAAAGGAGGTAAATGTTTATCTACTTCAACAGCTCAAAAAAAGACACCTCTTTTTCACTTATTGCTACCAAAGGAACATATATTTCCACATTATGTTTTACCAAGTGGCCCAGCATTCTACTTTATTGAATTACAGATACAAGTGACTCTAACTAATAAGTAATAGTTACAGTTTCAAGTTACTGAAAAAGTGGTTACTGGTATCGCTTTACTAGTGATTAGTTACTACCCAAGACTGCTCACATCCAGCTAATGTTAAGGTGGATATGGGTCCCAAATTTTTTTTATCAAATTCTTCATTAATTGAAGTGGGACTTGCAAAGTTTGTATTTGCGAACAGATTTAAAATATGCAATTCTTTTTTTCTGTTTGGAGGTTGGGGAATGTTCACAAACCGAGACAGTGGTGAAAAGTGGTCGAGCTGAATGCTATTACTTTACATGTTGCCGTGAGCGTTTTTGCTCGAAAAGCACCACTTGCACTTTTCTTCGATATTGGAAAATCCCTGCTAGCTTATGCAGAATCGGTTTATATTTGAAATGTTTTACTTTGGACTTCGCAATCTGTTAATTTATTACCGAATAGAAAGTGCCACGCTAAAATGCACCACACATCTGTTAAGAAAGGCAGTTTTGACAAAAAGATATCATGTACTGAATAACAGTAGTCAATGTGCATTGATGAACGAATGAATGAACAAATGGTTGAATGAACAGATGAATGGATGGGTGATTGATTGATTCATTGGGTCACAGTGATAGCATAATTGGAAACCTTCCCACAATAAAAAAAATTCAATGGAGGGCTTTTTCTCTACTCATTATTGGAAATGGTAGCTTTGAGTGAAGTTGTATGTGCCATTAGGATATAATTTGTTTTATGCATTGACTATTATTTGCAAGCTTGTTAATGTTCATTTCTTAACAATCTGATGCTCATAACTCAGAGATTAATTACTCAACATTCTTTAGGTGTGTAGAATCACATGACAAGGCCCTTGCATTGGGATTGATCCAGTTTGCCATTGGACTGTTTGGTAAGTTGCTGTCGTAAGATTTATGAGCAGCTTTTTCTCTGCCTGCCAGCTCTGAGCAAGCCCACCGTGATAGCTTAGTGAAGACGATGTTCCGCTGCTTAGCTTGCGGTCTTTTGTGTTCAGCTCCCGAACTTTGACACTGCGTTTAAGTGAGGGTTAATTGTGAAAGTGCTCATATATTTAGCCTGTTCTGTCTCTGTGAAAGTAATTGGACTCATTGCTTTGAGCAAGTGCAGTTAATTTTGAAGCAAATATTTTTTTACCTTCAGCTTGAATGTCTTTTGTGGAAGGCATAACTTTACTTTGGCTCAGCAACAAGGCACTCCATGTATACCATCTGTGGTGCACGGCTGCTTTAAAAATCGCGTTTCCGAGAAATGTCAACTATTTTGTCTTTGCAGCAAGTAAATAAAATTTTCCGTAGTTTATTTTAGCCCAGTAACGCTGCGGAACGGTCTCCAACGAAGTTGCAATCAATTTTTATGCATAATCTCGGTTATAAATTGCAGTTGTTAGCTGGTAAATAAGGTAAATTATATATAATAAAATTTATTTTGCAATAATATTTAAATTTTACCAATTAATTTTTTTTCACTGTTCGTCTGAAACAATATATTTTTTTCGTTTTCTTGTACGCTCTAGAACAAATTAAAAGAAGTTTGAAATAAACTGACCTGGAGTTGCCTTTTTGGGTATGAGGATGTTAAGTTGAGCTGTGCATGTGAGGATCCCAGGTGCTCAAAATTAATCTGGAGTGCCCTATTACGGGCTACTTCGTAACAATATCTTGGCTTCATTACTATGGCTTGCTTCATAATGATATCTTGGCTTCCTCACTTGAAGCAATGGAACCGAATTTTAACTCGCTAATGTGCACATTCTACAGGGAATGTGCCTTGTCCCATCATCTACGGCGCAGTCGTCGACTCTGCCTGCCTCTTCTGGGAGGACAACTGCGGGGAGCCTGGGGCATGCCGCGTCTACGACCCGGCCAAGTTTCGTATGGTGTTCCACGGTGTCACTGCTGTCATCATGTTTGTCGCGTTCCTTGTGGATGCTGTCGTTTGGTACAAGGCCAGCTCCATCCACATCCACGAAGAGGAAGAGGCCAAAGACGTCGCCGTTGTGGCGGCAGCAAACGACGTGGCTTCCTCGTCTCCGCAAGTCCCAACGGCGCACGCTGAAACCGAGTCGTGTGTGTGAAGGACGCGCTTGCCTCTGTTGCCACGAGAATTTGGCGCTTTTGCATCTGTACAGGTGATGCCGCGGTTATGCTGAGCCTCCGACTCTTCCATCTTGTTTTTGCTTCCTCCTGTTCCGGTGGAAACAGTTTGGAGCAGCGCTCGCGAAGTGTCTCCAGATCCTTGGCGCAGCAATGGTTCGGTCTCCGCTGCTCTGCAAGGGCCATCGGTTGAAAGAAGTGCTGTGGCCATCCATATGCCTTGCTGTGGCAAATGTGGCAGCCTGAAACCTCGTATTTCGCCTGGGGACAAGAAACAATGTGCATCCAAAGTGCCAGTCTTGCCTAGTGCTGTATATGTAAGTGACCCCACCCCGCCTTTACGTGGTTCGCGTCCTTCTTAGTTTGGCAGTGTCAGTTTCACGAACTCTACGTGCAAGTTGTCTGTTAGCAAGGCTGACCGTGCAAGTGACTGCTTCATGACAGAGGTGCAGTTGCCGCACAAAATCGGTAAGGCGTGTAACTCTAGACAATTTGCTGCACGCACAATTGCAAGCTCTTCTGAAAGACCGCGTAGTTTCATCACTCCTTGAACGAACGCAGGGCTGTTCCCGCTACAGACTTTGACACAACTTGTTGTTCTGGCTTGGGAAGAGAAGAGGAGGACCCATGTTGTTAAACGTTGCTGGACGATCGAGTGTGCATTTGTTTTGTACAGGAACAACTCCACTCTTTGTGTGTGGTTCACATGGTGCGTTTACTTCCACAGCTGCGGGAGTTCTTGTTGCTGGAGTGTACCGAGAAAGGCAGCTCTGCGAATGTGCGCCATGGCCTTTGTTGTTTTTGAGATCGCTGTTAACCTTCATTTTTTTTTTAATCCTAAAGTTGTTGACATGCTGAGTTAGTTACTGGAGCGAAAGAGAAAGAAAGCAAGCAGAGTGAAAATGGTTTTAATTTAGTATATATTGAATCACTGGGAGGTGAGTGTTGATTATTAAGCCGAGCGCTGGACTGTCGTCTTTGCACGCTGTTGGAGAAAGAAAACGCACAACTATATGGGAGAGCTTTGTTCCCTGTTCTTTTTCTCCCCCCCCCCCTCCCTCTATTTGTGCATATTGCATCCCCTTCCCTCAATTACGACTTTAGTAATATATGAGACCTGTTGGACAAAGTAGTGTTCCTTTTTCTTTTGGGTGAAATCCATCCGAACTGTGTGGTGCAGTGCTGTTGATCAGATGGAGACAAGTTGTAACCCATCACAGGCTCCATCATTTGGAGCTTGTATTGGTTTATTAGCGTACGTAACATGGCGTGCAAACTTCTCCGTGTTTCCAATGCCTCTTTAAAAATTTTGATCTTGTTACTGTTGTAACCGTGAGCTTAGATTACTGACTGAAGTTGTAAGCTATGCTTTTTTATAGGCATAATTTGCACATGATGAAACATGGCACATGGAAACCATATGACAGATTTTATTGTTAAGCTCTGAAACTCACTGAATGAGCATGTTACCATTCGCCTACGTTATGTCAAAAATTCTACACTTACCTCTCAATGCTTGCATGCACTCTGCAAATTTAATGTGTTAGTAATTAATTTCCCCTAGGTAAAACTCTTCCTACTGAAGACAGGTGTTGAATTCACTTAAGCCTTAATTCTGCTTCCAGTTAAGAAATAACACTAGGGGCACCTGTTTTTAGCTGTTTGTAAACAATGTTTCAGTGCGTTTCTGGTGCCACTAGGAGCTGGTGCAGTCTTTTTTATCATATATTACATTTTTTATACCGCTGCACTCCTGGACAATGCATTAACTTAGTGAAAGCATTAGCAGTTGACCAGTAATTGTAACTGGTAAATCGATCATGTGATTGGAGAGGGCAAGTTCGTGGAATGGTTACAGTTGTGTTGGTGTACCTTATTTTCTCATCAGCCATGCTTCCTACGCACTCGATATGTTTGCTTTGAGGCACACTTTTGTAAAATACAATACGGTTCTCCATTATTGAAAACACTCATAATTTAACGAACAATCACCACAGGATAACAACATGAAAGCATTACAGCTAGTCCTCACCTTGTGGCTGTTAGCATTGATGCGTTTTGTTTTTTTTTTCTCTCTACGAAAGCGTGTTCAAGTTAGTATGAAGCTTTCAATGCTAGCTAGGTGTTCCTTTCAAGCATGTACTGCACTGTACAACTCGGCATATGCTTTGCTTGTCTAATGATGCTGTTTCTTGAATAATGCGAAATGATGTGTCATCCTCTGCCTATGCTTCAAGTGGCATGCTACCAACAAAAAACTATTGCCAAGTCGTATTCTGGCTTGAGTCAGTCACTCTGGCGTAATGGCCCCGAGTTGCTATTTAGTGATGGTTAGCATTTATTAGCAACTTCATAGCAGTGAAAAATTACCGTACTTGATTGCTGTACTGATTCCACCTGGTGCTGAAACCCAACTCCGCCACTGCTATACTTGACTGTTGTTATCAATCGTACATCACACCTACAGCCCTTGCTGGATCAAGAATATCAATATCCCGGTAAATGAAAATTGTGTACAGTAGAATCTTGATGTAGCGAAGTAGTGCATAACAATGTAAGAAGACATAGAAAAGTTTTATCTGGAACAATGCGTCCTATATGTCCAACATATTGAAGATAATGTAATGTTGGATACAGTTGTGTTATAACGAGATTCTACAATGCGCTCCAGCAGCATACACAGTTTCAATTGCAGCATTTAAAACGGAATCAGATTCTGTCTCTGTCTTCTGTGCTGCGAGTTACAATTGTACACACACATAACTATATGCACACGTAACTATACGCACACATAACTGTACACACATGTGGGCTTACGTATGGGTGATGTCAGTTTCTTGGTATTGCCCCCCTGTTTGCCCATTGTCAATGCGCACATGTATGGATATTGATGTGTGGAACTTTACCGCTGCTCAGCATGCTTCGTCGTGAGCATTCCCTCTGCACAAGAAGTTTACAGAAGAAAAAAAAATGGTGCTGTCGATGAATTAATTTTAACAAATCAAAAAATTATCGCTTTTGTAAATATGTATGTGTGTCTGTAAATGTGTATGTATGCATGAGTGTTAGTTGTTGCTGGAGATGTGTTACAGAGAGTTTTATAACATGTGGTGTAAGAGATGTCTACACAAGAAAGAAATTGAGCATTCTTTTTTGGCAAGCCTGTTGAACATTTTTCACCAAAGAAACGCGTGCTTACAAAATATGAATCGTGCCACGCGCTGTGAACAGCGGAAAAAAATTTTTTTCTTCAGTTCTGCTGATAGAATGCTTCTTTTAGGTACGTTTTTTATAGTATTTAACCTACGTTTACCATACAAAACTGCATCGTCACATCTGTCCTACAGAAGATGCACTTGGAATTCAACGTACAGTTTTACAAGCTGTTTGCTTTTTTTTTTTGTGACAAAGCACTTGCTTCATTATCATGCTTAGTAGAGCAAGTTTCACTGCCCTACAGCTAGTAAAAATTTAATGCATGTAACGTGGGACATTAAAAAAATATCAAGAATTGGGCTGAACAGTCAGTGCTGTGCAGTGTTCACATGGAAGCGGTTTTAACACGACAGAAAGCAATGCTTATCGTATTCTAAATGCCCGATCTTGGTGCCTGCTTAATCCATGCCTTCAAGCATTCTGATTTGTGATGTTTTCACTTTTGTTTATATTTTCTATTATATGCAGATGTGTGTTAGGCACATTGTATTCATCTCTAATTACTGTGAACTTGACTGCGAGGCTGTTGTGAGCCTCTCTTCAAGGAAACCTTATTTTTGTAAAAAAAAAACAGAATATGGAACAAACGGGCTAAGGGATAAGGTAGTCATATGAACTAACGAGAAATTTCTGCAAGAAGCATCAATATTAGAAAGAAGCATCAATGTTAGAAAGTAGAAATGGAATCGAGAGTTAAACGAATGTTCTACTTTCCATGAAAGAAGAGTTTGTGAAGCTTAGCATAGTCTTATTGTTCATTCAGGTGACAAGTGTCATATTGCTTTGTTTATACATACAATTTTTTTTTAACGCTCATAGTGCTGTATACGACAATTAGCATTGACGTGTTTTAGGAGTTTTCAACATGGTTATTCTGAGGTAGTCGTTTTTCAGCATGTTGGTTATCGTTTTCTTTTTCCTTTCGTTCTGCAGCATTGGCTCTTTATACCAAATATACTCTAAATTTCTTGATGATAAATTGTTAAATCGATCATTTTTGCCAAAAAATGTGAACACAAAAATAAAACGCACCATATTGACTTTTATTGCCACCTATCTGTGTCTCTTGTTGGCAGTTGATCATTAAAAAGCTGTTTGATACCATAACTGATGGCAATTTTTTTCAAGTATGTGCCTACACACACACACACACACACACACACACACACAAACACACACACACCACACACACACCACACACACACACACACACACACACACACACACACACACACACACACACACACACTAACAAAAACCTCATCGATACTATGTTCATTACAATCATATATCCAACCTTATGGATGACACTGACTATTACATGGCGAGGAATTACAAATTTTTTGTGTATCCATTAGCTCCTGAAATGTGTTTTCTTGTTCCAAACAAGACAGGTTCAAGGTATGTTGAAGCTGCAAGTGATGTGAAGGCATTGAAGAAACGATGTCGCTAGATCCAATGCCTTATGAAATGTTGGCTCAGCCGATATCATGCGTGTGATGATTTCTCATCACCGTGGAACCTATATGTTGTTGCAGAAACACCAACAAAATTTTCTCAAATATTACAATTGATTGATATGTGGGGTTTAACGTCCCAAAACCACCATATGATTATGAGAGACGCCGTAGTGGAGGGCTCCGGAAATTTCGACCACCTGGGGTTCTTTAACGTGCACCCAAATCTGAGAACACCTTAAATATTACACTGGATAGAATTATTCCTTGTGTGACTTTGTGTCGTGTGTTTATGAAAATGTAAG